ATTTTCACCAGAAAATTACTCAAACTTAGTCAGAATCATCTTTGGTGAATGAGGGTATTATATCGTAAAATTTGGATTCCTGCCTCATCCCCAGAGGCTAGGGTGAGGCCCCAAAGGGAACTGTTACCAATATTTTAAAATTCGTATCCTTTGATGACATGACATTAGTCTTGTACTTAGTTTACATGCTGATTTCCACATCACATCTAAACAATGAAATAAAGCTACCAGTACCTTTGATATAACTCAGGTGACCGCTAAGGCCCTTGGGTCTCTTGTTTTGTGTTTAAGGGAAAACCCACCGGGTCTTATCTAGATTAATTTGAAGCGTTACGGAAGAATTAAATTTTAAAACATAAAATGCCAAATATAATCTATTTAAGTCTCAAATGGGGAATAATTCTGTTTACATTATCGGACTTTTTTCTCATTGAAATTCACCGTTAATCCCAGGTGTTCGGTGCGTTCGGGTTCGTAATATTTTTTTGCTATGCAGAAGTTGTCATAAATAATAAAGTCAGCCCCAGAGACAATGTTCTATATCCGGCTTTAACTAGCATGTCTAAAATATCGGCGGCGGCTAACAACATTGATCATCCGTGGTTGTTTTACACAAGAAAATGTGTAAATAATTAATTAATCCATAAAGAAAAGTTACTCATCGCTGATTTAACGGGGACTTCTTCTTCAAAATTTATATATTATAAGCAGCGTTATACCAACCTTCGAGAACCACGTGTCTCTAGTGCCGCATACTGCGTTAAAAGTCTACGTAACCACATGTGCTGTGTTTAACCTTTTTTTGCTAATTAACAATTTGCGCACTGTTTAAAAACACAATCACACCAAAGTGTTAAGTGATAGCGTACATATTGTAGTCCTCTGTCCGGCATTAAAACGTAATATGTACCTATACATGTAACTTCTACAATACCTTGCGGGGGAAACACGCACGCCGAAGCGTTAGATTGACTTTCGATCGATTTTAACTACAGAAGTAAATACATGAGATGCATAGAAGTGTTTGTACTAAGAGAACTTTGAAAATGTTGGAATGTAAAAAAGGAGTTCGGATTAACTGAGAAATGGTATTCGCACTTAGCCTGTGAGGGTAAAAAAACTTAATGTGTCATAAGAGGATTGATTATTCCGTTCATCTAAAAGATAAATATATCAATATTTTCAACGTCTTCAAGGAATAAGGAATTTTTGATGACACGAAATCTCTGCATGTACTGCAGCCGCCTGTCGTTTCGATCTCTTCAGCTGCTACATCCTTCTCTCGTTTCGATCTCTAGAGCTACTACATCCTTCTCTCGTTTCGATCTCTACAGCTACTACATCCTTCTCTCGTTTCGATCTCTACAGCTACTACATTCTTCTCACGTTTTGATCTCTACAGCTACTACTTCCTTCTCTTGTGTAGATATCTGTAGCTACTACATCCTTCTCTCGTTTCGATCTCTGTAGCTACTACATCCTTCTCTCGTTTCGATCTCTGTAGCTACTACATCCTTCTCGAGTAATGATCTCTACAGCTACTACATCCTTCTCTCGTTTCGATCTCTACAGCTACTACATCCATCTCTCGTTTCGACATCTGTAGCTTCTACATCCTTCTCTCGTTTCGATCTCTTCAGCTACTACATCCTTCTCTCGTTTCGATCTCTGTAGCTACTACATCCTTCTCTCGTTTCGATGTCTGTAGCTACTACATCCTTCTCTCGTTCGATGTCAACAGCTACTACATCCTTCTCTCATTTTGATCTCTACAGCTACTACATCCTTCTCTTGTTTTGATCTCTACAGCTACTACATCTTTCTAACGTTCCGATCTCTATAGCTACTACATCCTTCTGTCGTTTCGATCTCTATAGCTACTCATCCTTCTCTTGTTTCGATCTCTACAGCTACTACATCCTTCTCACGTTTCGATCTCTATAGCTTCTCATCCTTCTCTTGATTCGATCTCTACAGCTACTACATCCTTCTCACGTTTCGATCTCTACAGCTACTCATCCTTCCCTCGTTTCGATCTCTGTAGATACTGCATACTGCATACTTCTCTCGTTTCGATCTCTGTAGCTACTACATCCTTCTCTCGTTTCGACCTCTGTAGCTTCTACATCCTTCTCTCGTTTCGATCTCTTCAGCTACTACACCCTTCTCTTGTTTTGATCTCTACAGCTACTACATTCTTCTCACGTTCCGATCTCTACAGCTACTACATCCTTCTGTCGTTTCGATCTCTATAGCTACTCATCCTTCTCTTGTTTCGATCTCTACAGCTACTACATCCTTCTCACGTTTCGATCTCTATAGCTTCTCATCCTTCTCTTGATTCGATCTCTACAGCTACTACATCCTTCTCACGTTTCGATCTCTACAGCTACTCATCCTTCCCTCGTTTCGATCTCTGTAGATACTGCATACTGCATACTTCTCTCGTTTCGATCTCTGTAGCTACTACATCCTTCTCTCGTTTCGACCTCTGTAGCTTCTACATCCTTCTCTCGTTTCGATCTCTTCAGCTACTACACCCTTCTCTTGTTTTGATCTCTACAGCTACTACATTCTTCTCACGTTCCGATCTCTACAGCTACTACATCCTTCTCACGTTTCGATCTCTATAGCTACTCATCCTTCTCTTGTTTCGATCTCTACAGCTACTACATCCTTCTCACGTTTCGATCTCTACAGCTACTCATCCTTCCCTCGTTTCGATCTCTGTAGATACTGCATACTTCTCTCGTTTCGATCTCTGTAGCTACTACATCCTTCTCTCGTTTCGACCTCTGTAGCTTCTACATCCTTCTCTCGTTTCGATCTCTTCAGCTACTACATCCTTCTCTCGTTTCGATCTCTGTAGCTACTACATCCTTCTCTCGTTTCGATGTCTGTAGCTACTACATCCTTCTCTCGTTCGATGTCTACAGCTACTACATCCTTCTCTCATTTTGATCTCTACAGCTACTACATCCTTCTCTTGTTTCGATCTCTACAGCTACTACATCCTTCTCACGTTTCGATCTCTACAGCTACTCATCCTTCCCTCGTTTCGATCTCTGTAGATACTACATACTGCATACTTCTCTCGTTTCGATCTCTGTAGCTACTACATCCTTCTCTCGTTTCGACCTCTGTAGCTTCTACATCCTTCTCTCGTTTCGATCTCTTCAGCTACTACATCCTTCTCTCGTTTCGATCTCTGTAGCTACTACATCCTTCTCTCGTTTCGATGTCTGTAGCTACTACATCCTTCTCTCGTTCGATGTCTACAGCTACTACATCCTTCTCTCATTTTGATCTCTACAGCTACTACATCCTTCTCTTGTTTCGATCTCTATAGCTACTACATCCTTCTCTTGTTTTGATCTCTACAGCTACTCATCCTTCTCTTGTTTCGATCTCTACAGCTACTACATCCTTCTCACATTTCGATCTCTATAGCTTCTCATCCTTCTCTCGTTTCGACCTCTGTAGCTTCTACATCCTTCTCTCGTTTCGATCTCTTCAGATACTACATCCTTCTCTCGTTTCGATCTCTGTAGCTACTACATCCTTCTCTCGTTTCGATGTCTGTAGCTACTACATCCTTCTCTCGTTCGATGTCTACAGCTACTACATCCTTCTCTCATTTTGATCTCTACAGCTACTACATCCTTCTCTTGTTTCGATCTCTATGGCTACTGCATCCTTCTCTTGTTTTGATCTCTACAGCTACTTCATCCTTCTCACGTTTCGATCTCTACAGCTACTCATCCTTCCCTCGTTTCGATCTCTGTAGATACTGCATACTGCATACTTCTCTCGTTTCGATCTCTGTAGCTACTACATCCTTCTCCCGTTTCGACCTCTGTAGCTTCTACCTCCTTCTCTCGTTTCGATCTCTTCACCTACGACATCCTTCTCTTGTTTTGATCTCTACAGCTACTACATCCTTCTCTCGTTTCGACCTCTGTAGCTTCTACCTCCTTCTCTCGTTTCGATCTCTACAGCTACTACATCCTTCACTCGTTTTGATCTCTACAGCTACTTCATCCTTCTCACGTTTCGATCTCTATAGCTACTCATCCTTCTCTGGTTTCGATCTCTACAGCTGCTACATCCTTCTCACGTTTCGATCTCTATAGCTACTCATCCTTCTCTGGTTTCGATCTCTACAGCTGCTACATCCTTCTCACGTTTCGATCTCTACAGCCACTCATCCTTCCCTCGTTTCGATCTCTGTAAATACTGCATACTGCCTACTTCTCTCGTTTCGATCTCTGTAGCTACTACATCCTTCTCTCGTTTCGATCTCTGTAGCTACTACATCCTTCTCCCGTTTCGACCTCTGTAGCTTCTACATCCTTCTCTCGTTTCGATCTCTTCAGCCACTACATCCTTCTCTCGTTTCGATCTCTGTAGCTACTACATCCTTCTCTCGTTCGATGTCTACAGCTACTACATCCTTCTCTCATTTTGATCTCTACAGCTACTACATCCTTCTCACGTTTCGATCTCTATAGCTACTCATCCTTCCCTCGTTTCGATCTCTGTAAATACTGCATACTGCCTACTTCTCTCGTTTCGATCTCTGTAGCTACTACATCCTTCTCTCGTTTCGACCTCTGTAGCTTTTACCTCCTTCTCTCGTTTCGATCTCTTCACCTACTACATCCTTCTCTTGTTTTGATCTCTACAGCTACTACATTCTTCTCACGTTCCGATCTCTATAGCTACTACATCCTTCTGTCGTTTCGATCTCTATAGCTACTCATCCTTCTCTCGTTTCGATCTCTACAGCTACTACATCCTTCTCTCGTTTCTATCACTACATGTGACTTTAAATGTCACGGAAACGAGCATAATGTAGTTGAAATAATACTTTGTATTGTGTTGTAATACAATCAATCAAAGCGTAACAAACGTATATACAAACAATTTTCAAAACTCAATCTAAAAATGTCTCAGCCTATTTTATCTCTATCATGTGCTCAATTACTAGACTGCATTAATCAAACTTTGTAAGAGGTGAAGTGAAGCCTTTGGATAGCGAATCATACGTAGCTGTTGTACATGCCAATCTCTGTTAGCTTGCCTTCACACTTATCAGGTGATATTGGTGATGTTTATATTAGCGCTGGACCAAGGCATCGGCACTGACAATGAAATAAGCATTGCTTAAAAACTGTTACCACTTTTAAACTGTTAAATACAATCAAAACATAACAGAGTCTTTGTTATCACCATATTTTTATAAAACAAAACGAAAATGTGGCACCTAGTGAATCTTTCCGAGGCCCCATGTTCATTACACAGATTTTAAAGAAATCTCCATCAGGATGAAAATAATGAAGGCTGTTTTATTTTAAACTGCAACTTCTAATAAAAAGTTACAAAATAAAACAATATGCTATTTTGATAAATGACACCTTAATAGAAAAATATGTAACAACATTTAGATTACAACAGAAAAGGTTATCTAACCTTTTTGTCAGCACCGATTCTTTCTTAATTCCATACCGAAAATTTTAAGTGTCCGCTTTTCGCGTAAAAATTTTGATGTCTCGTATGACAAGCCATTGTCGCTGGGGGCGTGTGACGTCAATAGACAGGCAGTTTATGTCAGACGGAAACTCCCTTAACCCTTGTTCTATCGTGTCCACGTACCCCCGAACAAACACGCCCCTCCGGATAAGATTTGAGCACGGAGGGTAATTTGTGCCCACTCTGAGGTACCCGGATATTAACCGGTCCTTCTCGCCATTTTCTCCTCCAGTAGTCACTATTACACGCGTTAAGTTTACAGTAGATCTAAATATTAATCTGAAATTGTCTCCCAATCCAACAGAAGAGGCCCAGAAAAACGTGGAGTTGTCATTGTCGTAAGCTTTTATCGGAGAATAACCTCCAAACGTTTCCATTGTTGTGTTAATAACTGCAGGGGGATTATCTCCCTTTAGCAATGTAGTGTTGTCTCCCCTGTCGAAGCGGAACCTGCTCTTTAGCCGCTCAATGTCGTGGTGCAGACATGGAGAGGAGTTAGTGAATGTGACACTCCTTTTTGAAATTGTCAGATATAACTGTCGTAACAAAACATTAATGTTTTCAATCCTAAATCGTGAGGCCAAGTATTCTGCCATGCTCTGAAGAAACGTCGAATGAAACAACGTACCGATAAAACCAAAATGTCCAAAATCGATACCAAACCATACCGCTTTCTGCCGACTGACGATCTTTAATATATTCCTAATAATGAATCGTTCACAGACAATACCTGGTTCTAACTGGACGAAATACTTTGCCAAGTTTCTCGAGTACAGGAACAGTAGTGCGTGGTCGAGGATCTCCTTGCGCATGTCTGCGTCTGTCTCCTTGGGGATACCATGTCGATGGTAAAGCTCAGCAGGTCCATGGACAATGTGGACTTGACCAGTATCAAAGAAGTCGCCGTAACGCTTCATCACCTCACCAAAGACCTTTGCCCCTAGGTCAGCGTCCCGCATAGAGAGTTGTAGAATGATACGGAACTTCTTCCTGTCCTCACCTGCATTGTCCTCTAAGAGAGTGTCCATAGTCTTAAAAGTGTTCTCAATTAGGCCACTCTCCGTCATTAAGATTCCTATACTGACCAATCCTGAACAAAAAGGGTACTTGTATGAATATTGAAGATCAAACAATTAAAGGTTCAGAGGTAATATAAGTTGATTTAACATCTTACACTAATATCTTCCTTTACTGAAAACAAATCTCTCGACTTAAGTTTATTCCGTACAGCATTCGTCAACGTAGTGTTGAGAGATGACCACCGGAAGCACAACTTTACTACTACGAGACTTATGTAACTTGTCTTGCATGGCTTTCTTTCTGAAGTAAAACTTGGCTACAACAGGATTGAATATTACTTACGTTGTATGGCTTGTTCACGGATGTACGAATTGGCTATAAAATGATTGTATGTGACTCTAATGGCTTGCTTTCGGAAATACGGCTTGAGTCTGACTATGACGTGTTGTATGTTACTTAAGTTGTATGACTTGCTCCCTGAAGTACAACTTGACAATAAACAAACGACACTGTATGTTACGTACGTGATATGGCTTGCTTCCGGATGTACGACTTAACTATAACGAGAATGTATGTGACTTGCTTACGTCTCCGGAATTGCGACTTAACTATAACGAGAATGTATGTTACTTGCTTGCGTCTCCGTAAGTACGACTTAACTATAACAATAATGTATGTGACTTGCTTGCGTCTCCGGAAGTACGACTTAGCTATAACGAGAATGTATGTTACTTGCTTGCGTCTCCGGAAGTACGATTTAACTCTAACGAGAATGTATTTTACTTGCTTGCGTCTCCGGAAGTACGACTTAGCTATAACGATAATGTATGTGACTTGCTTGCGTCTCCGGAAGTACGACTTAGCTATAACGAGAATGTATGTTACTTGCTTGCGTCTCCGGAAGTACGACTTAATTCTTACGAGAATGTATGTTACTTACGCGGCCTGACTTGCGTCTCCGGAAGTACGACTTAATTATAACGAGAATGTTTGTTACTTACGTGGTTCAGCTTCTTCCGAGAAGTATTCAAACGACCGAGAACTGTTCTTGACCATACTGGTTCCGGTTATCAGGAATTTAGTGATGTTCTTTGTCAGTTTGACCCCTATCAGAGGGTTCTTAAACTCTGCTAGCCATTCTTCATATATCATATTTGTCTGGACAGTCTGAAAATTTGTAAACACACTTTTAACATTTTCTAGTTTCAAACACGCACTTAGCAGACTTCAGATATACTAGGAGAACATCCAGATCAAACAAGTAGAACATTTCAATCACACAAGTTTTATAACTTCAAACACATATTTAAGATTTATGTAGAATATTTCAAACCTATATAGAATAGCTTGACTCACACAGTAAACGACTTCAAATATATATGCTTTAATGGCTTCAAACATCAATGTAAAACAGCTTCAAACACAAATACGCAAAGGGCGCTTAAAATATTGCATTACTAATCCAAATCATTATTAATGGAAATTGGGGTCATATCATTTCAAATTGTATAACACTGACAGCCATTCGATGCAATTATTATTCATCAAGTAAGATACTATAATTATAAATGCAGAACATATATCTACTGATTCTACATTCCATAAATTGTGCGCCTTGTAGGTAGTAGAGTCATGTTCGTCCCCGTGTAAACAACTATAGAGCATGTAAGGATATGCCATTGCAATGCTAGTATACATTTGCCGTGGCTTAAAGGGTCAAGTTAACGGGAATTAGTCGTAGCAATGCACACTACCTGAATATTTAAATGTAGATATATAGATAGAAAAATTATGTATGTGAAAATAAAAGCAAATATTGTAAATATGTTGATATTATGTATTTGTCAGACATTTATCGGGAGTGTTTCATATTCCTTATAAACTGTACATATCTAAGTTCAATTATGTTTCTTTTTCAAAGTTAGAAATACTTATGTTTAAGTGATATATGCAGTACCTACCTCTGAGGGAATAACCTTTGATATTTCCTGCATTTTCCTCCCGACTTGATTTCTTTCATCACAAGGCCTGTTTTCTTTTTCTTGAGGCACTGTCATAGATAAAGAGGTAGGATAACGCATGGAAGTCACCCGCTAAGTCCTATATTCTAAAATGGACGTACCGATCTTTATCAGTGGAAGAACCAGATGCAACTTATTGTCAAAAGAAACAGAAGAATATCCTTCAAATTGGAATTTTTTAATTCAACAGAATTTGTTTTTTATTCGGCAACGTTGACTTTTTCCATGCTCGTTTCTATCGCGTATGACAGCCGTACAAAATAAACAGACATTACTTGTAATATTACGTCTTTAAGAGTAAGAATGAAACTAGAAGCAAATTTAAGTCATAACATTAAAGAATGGTTCTCAGAAGTATGACTGTGAATAAGGGGAACACAGTCGCGTAAAATATGTTGACATAAATATTGGAAAGAAAACTAAGCAACGACAGCAACAGACCTCTACTATATTTTTTTCTCTCAAAAATTATGCTCCTCTTCGTCTCATTTTGCCAAATTACAAGCGATATATGAAATAAGACGCCGTACATGTAGTATAGGGAGAGATCAATGGGTTCTCAGATCTCATTTCTTGGAAAAAGAACTCAGTTATTTTCTTGGTTGCATTTTCATAAAATTTAAAAAAAAAAGATATGTTAATTTATGTGTTTTAAAGTAAACATCAGTTGTTGCAATTTAATGAGAAGATATATGTTGTAAATAAATGTTGATAAATGTCGTCATTAACCTTACGTTCTTTCAAACATGCAGACAAAGTTGAATTTCAAAACAGAGGTTTTTGCTCCGACTTGAGATTCTTTTTTCTCGTAATAAAACGCCATTTGTTAAAATTATCCGATATCTGAAGATATGCAGATGGTTTTAAAAAGTGGAAATATAAAATGAATATGGAAAATGTATACATCAAATTTAAAATGATTTCAGTAACCAATACAGACATTTCATTAACAAATCCACTTTTAACAAATGCGCACAACGTGTTTACCATGATGAGCGAGGCAGACTTAGAGGATTTTAGTAGGAATGTCCCGTATTTCTAGTTTTTTAGTAAAATAAAACCATATTAAAACGAACAACCCACTAAAACTGCTGTACGTACCAACAAAAAGGATGCGTAGCTGTATAACAATACACAAAATAAACACGATGGTGGGGATGTACGCCCTCCTGGGAGTTAGCCGGATCTTCATTGGTATATGTGGCACTGTTGTCACCGTCCCTGGTGCTTTGCCGACAGGTGGCGTAATATCAAATTTGATTGATGACGGACCACTTTATATTGTTTTGAAAATACTGTGACGATGTTCCCGGGAGATTATTAAATGCTACCTTACACCTGACTTTGTGACCGACAGGTGGCGTAGTCTACACGATAGGTGGCGTTGTCCTTGTTTTTTCACCATAAAATGACACTTCTTTCCTTGACTGCATTGAATCTTCTACACACTTTACTCGCTTAATCACAGTCTGACCTGTAGATAAAAATTCCTCGATAATTAGAAGCACAACAGATAACCTGTGCATTTCTTTCCTTGGTTTCCTGCCTTTGTCATTTGGAACATCACAGAAGTTTCCGCCTCAGATCAAATATTTGTGTCTAGGGAATCTCTGTCAAACTTTTCAGTTTGTCTGTACCCACGGGAAAACCCTGGAAATAAAACAGAAACAGCATAAGTCATTACGAATAGACCTACTGAGTACGTGGATGTTATTCGGCCTAAGACTATCGTGTATCATGCGCTTACAAATGGGTTTTTTAGAGTTATTTCCCTTGATTTCTCATCTGAAAAATAAACGTGTTTTTAATACTTAATACTTTAAAATACTTGAAAAGTGTTTTTCTGTGTTGACGAGAATTGCATCTTGCGCGCGCAGCAAAGTCAATCGGACCACCGGGCAACTTCATTTACAAAACGGAAGATATTCATTTTGAAATATCAACAAAATATATGAGAATCAACGCGAGACGAGATTTTTTTTTTAGATTTTTTTGCTTAAAAAAGTCCAAACAAATACTTATCTAAGTATTAAGTACGTACAATGTATAGGTATAGCAACATGCACGTTACCTCGTGTTTGGCAAGTGCTGCTATAGGTATACGGGATAGTTAACGTCAATTCCTGAAGTACCTGACCGACCATATGATGCGAATTTCTCGGCAGTGGCGAGCAGTACAGGTATGCATGCGCGATTCAAATGATACCGATCTAAATCGATTGTTTGACAGGGTTGACGCACATGATAGGCATACTTAATGAGTCTATGCATCCAGTATTAGTACCAATTTTTCAGCAGGCAAGCGTTCCCATCTAGCCTTATTGATATGTATGACATTTTCTAAACTACTGGAAACATCAATCACCAAAAAAAGAACGCTATTTTACTGTTTGACGTCATTTGTCTGTTTAACACAATTAATTACAATGTATTAGGAAATACTGAAAAAAGCATCGACAAAAATAGAATCAAAGTCGATAGTTTTGACATGGTCATAGTACAAAATCGTCTGTTGATGATATGAATACCAGACAATATTCATCAATCTTAAGTTAGACACAACTCAGTTAGGACAGGTAGTTCATACTTTAAACCTTCCGATCAGCATACACTACTGTGTAACGTAATGTTGATAATTTGGTATGAAACATCAAGCACAACTGAAGAAGGAAGACATGTAGCTCTGACCATTTACCGTAGCACCCTTATACATTATACATTAGTACGATATATCTGTAAACATAAGGTTACTCCGCATTTCTTTAATATCACTGGTGCCATTATTCTCCCTTCTCAGACCATAATTTAGTTCTTTTTCCCTGCTCACCACAAATTAGATATGTCGTTCGGTAACGAAAACTTCCTCTTCTAAAACTATTCAGCTACATGTGTCTGCAGTATTTAGAATGCATTTCTTCAACATAATTCGCTATGCAGATATGGATTCATGGAAATAATAATCTTCCTTTTTTAACACATTTCATATGGATATGTTGATGGCGTCGCTATATTGACTTATTATGGTGACAATACAAAAACATCGATCTAAGTTAACACACGTCAGATATCTTTTAGAATAAATTGCTCAATTATTAAAATACTTCACGATCGATGCCTGTTTTTTAAACAAAATTTACATATCATTCCATAACATTGCAGTCTCATATGTATAACCAACTATCAATTTAACCTTCCTTTGTCGAAACAGTAACAGTAAACAGAAAGAGTATACATGAAGCAAAACATCACATACAATAAAATCTGCTGAATGTATTGAAGCTGAAATATCGGATAAGCTTATGTACATTGTGCTGCAGTCAATATTTGCGTTTTAAACAGTAAACATGTCTGTCGCTGTTCTTTAGAAATTTTAACATGGTAAGGCAAATTCACAATTTATAGGCCAAAGTTTAGATTTTGGAATGTCTAGCTAGCTTAATGACAACATGAGTTTTCGTCAAGTATATTTTTAAAGCTATACAATCTGAGAACTTGTTTGACATGCATAGAAATTCAAAAGTAGCAACCGAAGGCAAAAACGCAAGAATATCTAAAACATTTTAGTAATATCTCAAAAACTGTATATTGAACATTTCCCTTCACGACTCGATAATCTAAACTGGATTTTTAACAAATTGTAGGCAATTGTTGAAAGCACAGGGGGCTGAGAATTTGTATCAGCTGTATTTGAAACTAAACTAAGGTGTTCAGAGTAATTTTACATATTTTAGGGGTTAAGATCGACTTTCTGGTAAAAATGACAACCCCAATGATCAAATATATACGAAAAGGGCGGAAAGCTCTCACCTAACTTTCTTGCATAAAAAACGCATTTCTAGTTGATGTACAGAAAAATGCCAAGTACCGTTGGTACATATATTAGGGGGTTGACGTCAATCTTCTGCCGACACATGCAGTGTTGGTTTGTTAAGCAAAAAAATAACACTTGAAAACTCTGAAATGGCGTGTGTTTTTAGAGGAAACGGAGATCGTATCCGCGGAAGGAGAATTCATTTTACGTGCAATATATCCATCTTTCCAACGGTACTACGCATTTCCCCGTACATCAACTAGACATGTTGTTTTTGATGCAAGAAAGTTAGGCGGGGTCGACTTTTTGACATCGAGAGCTTTCCGCCTTTCTCGTATTTACCGAAAATCGATTTAAACCCCTAAAACATGTAAAATTAGTTTAGGTCCAAATAAAGCTGTAACAAATTCTCATAAAAGTAACGAAATTCAAAATGAAACTACGTGTCAGGGCTCATCGGAATCATCACTAGGCTGTTTTAATCTTCAGGTAGCTTCCTCGATTTACGCTTATTGTCTTGACGGATGCACAAAAACCGCCAGGATACTGCAAACAGTTTTTAGTAGAATTTATAATGCCTTAAAAACACCGGAAGCAACATTACTCAGCATCAACCTTCAATCTTTTATAAACCATAGAACTTTGGTCCACACCGGTGTTTGGTATCATTTAGAAACAAACAAGTTCTATATATGTAATATAGAGAGTGGCAAGGATGTAATATTTATATGTAAACACATTCATTATATATAAATAGATATTAACATATGGGTTAAGTAGTTTTATCGATATTTCTTTAAAAGGAGTCTGTCAGCTGACATGTGAACAATCAATATTTTCGCTGAAAGTCGTCCTTGAGATCAGCAATACACTGTATCTATACGATTAATATAGACCCTGTTTACAGATTGGACACAATTCGTGTACGACGCAGGGAGTCGAACCAGTGCCTACATGTTTCACCACATCGGGGTACAAATGCCATCAAACTGTTCCAGATCTGGTTCACTAGGGTGCCTAGGTGCGCGTGGATTTCAGATAAATAAATATATAAATATTGGAGTTTTTTCAGCCCATGGTAACATTATTGTATGTCAACTTCAAATAATTTTTGTATGTGAAACACAACGATTATAAAGATAATATAGATTACATTTTTTTTTTAACAATAATTATGAGATATTTCAACTTACATTTAATACTTTTGTTTGCCCGGATGTTAGCGCACGGGGGGAGTGTGTGTCTTAATGTTGGAGGAAACCGGACAGATGACCCTATAGCTAGCTTTTCACATCCGATCGGCGAATCGAACCACGGCCGCCTTAAAGCTTCGTGAAAGGCAAGTGCGTTATCCATTGTGCCACCCAAAAGAACAGATGGAAAGAGTTATTCGATAAGTCGCTACTGTCTTTAAAAGGAATCTTGTGGTGAGGCTGTCAGATACAGCAGACATGTTATTATCATACTTGTACTCGGAATTTAACGAGCTTTGTGTGATTACAAAACGGCTCATTGCATCCAGATAGATAATGTACGGCATCTCATTACGCTCACGCAGTAATGATCTCAACTGAAACAGAATTCCTACCTACAGGCCGACTTTTTGTCTATGCCGTCATCGTATTTGGTAAAGACTTGTACAATCGTGGCTTTAATAGTAATTTTCTTGCAGCAGATATATTTTATCAGATAGCAAATATGTCAGTAACCATTTTGGTTATAAATAATATAATGATGACCACAGAAACATTACGGGATGTTCCTTCCCTTAGAGACCAGGTGTTCACAGTTCGTTGTTATGCCCATGAAATATACATGATTTTCATTAAAACAATGGCTTGTAAATAACGTTTTGTCTCACGTGTTTGTTGATCGTTCCGTTGTATGCTTTAGGGTATAGTTAAGGACACCGTAGACAATACATGACGACACGCCTTAATACAGAACAAGCTCTATTTGACGTCGTAGATATGTATATGATACACAAGTCCTTTAATACTGAGAGCCATTTTTATGACAAGAATTAGTAAATATAGCACATACAACACACTTTAACCGACATTAGAAATAAGAAATCAAATATAATATATAAAAAGCAAACAGCAGTGAATACATACACTGCAAGATTGCATTCATTAAATACCAAAGCACAGTAAAGCACCAATGATTACATAGATAATATGTAGGTTATACCAGACTTCCAGGCTTACGACTTCTACTGATGACACGAGTGTATGGCGCGTATAGATCATATATTTTATTACGGCATTAGTTGGAGTGAAATGTATCAATTTGCGCAATAAACGAGTAGAACATGAGACGCCAGATGACCATTGGTATACGTAGTATTATTCTTATAACATACCTTCAATTGGTCTTTATATTTATATTGAAATACATCCATCACATTACTTAAAATGGATATATTTTAAAATCTATAACGGGAGTCAAACATCCTTTGTGACGACAACAACTAATTGTCCTATAGTAGTGTTTTTTTTATAGGAATGACAGTTTTAAACATACAAATTTCTACCTTTTTTACCAACGGACACCAGGGGGCGCTAAAGTGGTCGGCATGAACATGTGCAAATGCAGTACAATAAATGAGTAAAATAATCTGACGTACATAACGGCCAACTATATAGTTATACAATTATCTAATATCTATATTGAAAGAGTGGTTAACTCCGTCCTTCCACGCAGGCGGCCGGGGTTCGATCTTCAGAAAAAGTGTTTTTCTTCTGCCCACACAACTCCAACAACCCAGGTGGAGTATAAATTGGTCTGGGGTGGATGTTACGGTACCTGTGTAGCATTCAAGTGAGGTGGCACTATA